TTTGTTATAGAAATTATATTAATTAATTATAAGGAGCTCCTTGCAATCACCGATTCCCTAGGGAAGGGCCACATGAAGTGGCATGTAAACAGTCCACGGCCTGTTAATGTGTGGTGTCTTAGTGATCAAAAGTTAAGTATATATGGTTAAGTAAGGTGTTGTGTTTCGCTTTTCACACACTACAGTGCGTGAAGAAGAAGAAGAAACAGAGGAACAAAAGAAGGAAATGTTCATAAAAGGAGGAATCAAGATGGTTAGCTAGGACTACAGGACCGATGTACAGTAGGAACTGCCGGTATTCTGCAGCCTTCCAGTATTCAAGACAGTCAAGAGGTCTGCACTTGCGGGAAAATTCAGCAGGCAGACATTGCATTGTTTAATGGACGCATTAATAGTAATGGACTGTTTCCCCGTTGCGAGCCGCCACATGTGTAGGAGCTTCCGCATGACACCAAGACAAACGAGGTGCATGTAGTCAATTGGAAACGTAGCAACCATATCAATAGGCAAGTCCTCGAAAGGTGAGGTGCCTTTATGGTGCTGCTCCTGACTTCTCGTACGGAATGACCTGTCATCCCGCAGACGCCCGCTGTGTACGGGGAAGGTCATGCGGTTTGCCACGGACCTACCCATACGACAACACCTAGGAGGATTACATTTTCGTCGATTACAGCAATTACCTGTCGCAGCCGTAATAGCCACTATGCGCTTTTACTTGCCGGACGTAGGACCGAGCAGGCGTGTCGCAGATGACGTTGGCCAGCTCAACTCTAACTACAGCGTCCGTATCCGGGACCTGAAGTCCGCCGGTCAGAATATCCTTCAGTTCTGAGATGCACTGGCCAAGAAATACATCCAAAGGCTCAGGCTTGCCGGAACCGGAAAACACTCCAACAACAAACGGCAGTCCACGGACAGGATAGCTGACTCGACCGAGGATTGGCCATAGACACTGGCCAGACCCTTTAAACAGCTTCATTCCGTCAATGTGGAGTTGAACCCGTATTTTCGGTAACAAAGCCGACGGCCGAAGTTGCAGCTGACCTAACAGACCACGTTTAAGGCCCAGATGGACGTAGTTGCCGTTTAAGAGGGACTCGGTAACGCATGCTCGCGGTGTCTGCATGAGAGTTCGCGTGTCCTTGGGCACCTCTGCGTGATATTTCCGCAAAAATTGGAACAACAACTTGAATGTTGCCTGCGGTAGTTGGACACTTAAGCAGAATTCCCTCAAATCTGTCAGGAAGCAATTGCCACTGAACGGGTTCGAGCTTTCATCTGCAAGTTGGTCGTCGTCTACATCGTCTTATAGCATACCATATAACACCTACCAATGCTCACTTCAGGGCTAAGGTGCGGCATCGATGGTTCGGGTGATGGCTCCGTTACGAGGGATGACGTAGACGCGAGCGAGGGGTCATCGGTGGCGGCATAGTACGCCATCTTCGCCCGCTTAGTCATGTTGTACATTGTACTGCGATGAAGTCCCCAGTATTTTCTTTCCATATTTGCTTAGAATTAACATATAAATACTATTAACATATATTAGACCGCTATATAGTACACTCAAGCTGTCAGACTACGTGCCATTCTTATAAATAACTTAAATTACGATTCTAGAGACTAAAATAAAGCATTTACTTATTACAATGACATATTGCATCGCATAGAAGAAATAAATAAGTAAATGAATAACGTACTGCAGTCAAAACGAGCCAAGTAAGAATCAGGAGTCGGTCAGCTGTATGGATCACGCGTGCACACAGTCAGCGTAAAAGTGCCGTCCACGTGGGTAGGTACATGACCGACTTAAACAAGGCCAGTATTTGCCTTCGTGAAACATGAATTTCTCTCAATGTCATACGACTGAAAACACATTATACAAGTTAAAAAGCTTATATTTGACGATAATAAAGCTCAAACAGTCGAAAATAATGCAGAATGACGTGATTAGAAAGGATGGAAATTTGGACGGGGCCTAGCCCCGTCTAGCCCCGTCTGGCCCCCGGGGCCATGTGTTAGCAGGGGTGGTAAAAAGGTCGACGCAGTCCTCGAAGGGGCGGTATGTTATTTCAGAAACCGGCACGGATGTCAGTACACACGGTCGCTTTCCAATAAGCACGACGTTATCAGGCGCCCCGGTGGACAATACGTAGCCATTGTGAAGAACAGCGGTCGACCTGCGCGGCAACTGAAACGACCGTGGTACCCCCTCATCGTCGTCCAACAGCAGTGAGCTAGTTGGCAACTCAGGCAAACGTCTCTCAGAGTAACGTTTGTATACATGTGCGGCTACATTTCTGGGACCCTTGATGGTACTGCGAAGGGTTTGTAAAAAAGATTCAAAAGGAAAAGCAGAAAAATTGTCCAACACTCCAAAACGGCTGACGTCCTCGTGGAGGTGGACTTAACAATGAACATTATAAACAAGATCAGCAGCACTGTACAATATTGTGAAATCGGAAGCAAATTCATCTCATAAAAAACTTCCAAAATCAACAAAAGATTTGTGCAAAATAGGATAGGAGAATATAAAAACGGCAACAAACAAAAGAACAAAATGTTCATAACGGGAGGAACCAAGATGGGAAGCTGAGACTACGGGACCTATGTACAAAAAGAACTGGCGGTATTCCGCGGCCTTCCAGAATTCCAGACAGTCAAGAGGTCTGCACTTGCGTGAAAATTCAGCAGGCAAACATTGACTGCACTGTTTTATGGAGGCATTAATTGTGACGGACTGTTTACCCGTAGCAAGCCGCCACATATGCAGGAGCTTCCGCATGACACCGAGACACACAAGGTGCATGTAGTCAATTGGAAAGGTAGCTACCATATCAATTGGCAAGTCCTCGGAAGGTGAGGTGCCTTTGTGGTGCTGCTCCTGACTTCTCATGCGGAATGACCTGTCATCCAGCGGACGCCCGCTGTGTACGGGGAACGTCATGTGGTTTGCCACGGGCGCTCCCATATGACAACACTTAGGAGGATTACATTTGCGTCCATTATGTCAATTATTTGTCGCAGCCGTAATAGCTATTATGCGCTTTTACTTGCCGGACATAGGACCGTGTCGCAGATGACGTTGGCGAACTCCACTCTAACTACGTCATCCGTATCCGGGACCTGAAGGCCGCTGGTCAGAATATCCTTCATTTCTGAGATGCACTGGCTTAGAAATACATCTAAAGGCTCAGGCTTGCCGGAACCGGAAAACACTCCAACAACAAACGGCAGTCCACGGACAGGATAGCTGACTCGACCGAGGATTGGCCATAGACACTGGCCAGACCCTTTAAACAGCTTCATTCCGTCAATGTGGAGTTGAACCCGTATTTTCGGTAACAAAGCCGACGGCCGAAGTTGCAGCTGACCTAACAGACCACGTTTAAGGCCCAGATGGACGTAGTTGCCGTTTAAGAGGGACTCGGTAACGCATGCTCGCGGTGTCTGCATGAGAGTTCGCGGGTCTTTGGGCACCTCTGGGTGGTATTGCCGCAAAAACTGGATCAGCAACTTTAACATTGACTGCGACATTTGGACACTTAAGCAAAATTCCCTCAAATCCGTCAGGAAGCATTTGCCACTGAACGGGTTCGAGCTTTCATCTGCAAGTTGGTCGTCGTCTACGTCGTCTAATAACGTACGCATATAACAACTACCAATGCTCACTTCAGGGCTAAGGTGCGGCATCGGGCGTTCGGGTGATGGCTCCGTTACGAGAGATGACGTAGACGGGAGCGAGGGGTCATCGGTGGCGGCATAGTACGCCATCTTCGCTCGCTTATTCATCTTGTGCATGGTGCTGCGATGAGTTCCCTAGTACTTCCTTTCCATATTTGTTAGAATTAACATATAAATTCCATTACCACATATTACACCGCCATACTCTACACTCGAGCAGTCAGATTATGTGCCATTCTTATAAATACCTTTAAGTACGATTCTAGAGACTATAACAACACATTTACTTATTTAAATGACACATTGCATCGGATAGAAGCATGGAACAAGTAAATGGATAACGTACTGCAGTCGAAACGAGCCGGACAGCTGTATCAGTCTGGCGTGCACACAGTCAGCGTAAGAGTGCCGTCCACGTGGGCGTGTACATGACCGACTTAAACAAGGCCAATATTTGCCTTAGGGAAAACTTACTTTCTCTCGATTTTATTCGCCTGAAAACGCATTATACAAACAAAAAAGCTTATATTTAACGATAAGAGAGCAAAATCTGTTAATATAATGCAGAATGACGTAATTAGAATGGATGGAAATTCACGAAAATTTGGATGTGACCTAGCCATATCTAGCCCCGTCTGGCCCCTGGGGGGGGGTGGGGCCATGTGTTGGCAGGGACGATCGAGGCTTGGCGTGACATTCCAGTTACATGAACCAAGGAATGGCTGTCATATATATAGGGTTGTGTAATCTGTATTTGCTGGGAATCTACGCCATCTTCATTGTTGACTTCTTGATCCTGTTGGAGGCATTCCTAGGATTTCGACTTCATATACTTACGCTGACAATCGCGGCAGTTGATTTTTTGAGATTAGGTATGTCCTGACTGCTGTTCGTATGCCAAAACGCAGCTTTGACTGGCATTTACTGAAAGCAGATTTCGATGTCAGAAAACACTGACCGACCTACCAGACTCTTCTCGTTTTCATCTAGCGGAAAGTGCGTTTCACTGCGATGAATGAAAATGAAGGATTACCGACACCGTCTACGACCAATACATTAAAATCGGCCTCTAAAACGCCTTTGAGGGGTCACTTCCCCAAGAGGTTTTTATCGATTCAAAGCTTTCTGTGCATGATTTTTAACCCTCAACTTTGGATAAGTTGCTGACGCGTACGAAAATTTATCGCAAAGTATTCACGTAAGGTGAACAATGCTTATGCATGCTTATATATGAACTGTCCTACCTTGATTGACCCCATTTTACTCCATGCTAGACATCTTGCTTTACACGTACAATGACTGGTCAATTGACTGAGATGTTTGAAGACGAACCGGCTCTGATACGGTGCCTTCCCGAATTAAACACCCTTCGCATCAGGGGCAAACTAACCGACCTCTCCATCGACGTACGTGTCTAGCACGATTCTTTCACACTCATTTCATTTCAAGCTACAAGACAACGTCGCACTGCCTGTGCACAAGGTAATTTTGATCTCCAGGGTACCCTCGCTGCGTGACATCGTGTGTGAAATGCCTAGGGAAAGGAAGGCTGTCCTCCGGTGGCCGAAAGTTCCCTCTGAGTAATAGCCCATGTTATATTAACACTGCCATCTAGGATCGCCAGGCCGTTAATCGATTATATTTACACTGGCCAACTGAAAGTCTGTGAAGCCAGTGCTGCTGGTCTAGTGGTGCTCTCGAAACAACTGTCACTAACTCATGTTGAAGAGTGGGCGGTGAGTTTCATTGTTGCCAGGTAAGTGTTCTTGCGTTCTCACTAACTTTCAGGTTAAATTCGGAAAATATAGCAAACAACTGGAACTTTGCGCAGATGCTGAATAGCGATCGCTTAATGACCGCCTGCCTGCAGCATATCAAAACAAGCTTTGAGGCCACAATTACAAGTGACTTTTTCATACAGCTGCCATCTGACACCGTCTTGTCCCTACTGCGGGCAGATGACCTCCAAGTGGGCAGTGAAGAGAGCGTGTTCGAGGCGATTAGGTTGTGGGTCAGTCCGTGCGGCGAGATTGATGAAATTCGAGTGGTCCATGCGGCAGCAATGATGAAAGAAGTACGATGGGATCGAATAAACCCCGAATTCAGATACAAACTACTTGATAATGACGGCTTTTGGAACAGAAATGTGGAGTGTTTGTGAGTTGCTGAACCACTCTTGACTTCTCAAACTGTCAGACGACTTCTAGGTCGTATAGCTGGCTGGTTCGAATGCCCATCTTCAAGGGCGGGCAGAGAGTGTCCGTTTAATACGAATCGCAGAATTACGCAGGAGGAAATCTGTCTCATTGGTACATCGGCATCCAGTGGTCAATCGGTGCTGATCCGGTACGATGCCAATACAAAGACCTCAGAGCAACTGAATGTATTGGGAGACCGAAGTTATGCGGCCTTTGTGGCTATTGAAGGTGGGCTGTAAACCGTTGAATTTTAAGCGACGGTATAAATTATTCAAATTTTTCGATCACAGTTTGTTTTCACACAATTTGAGCAGTCAGTAGCGCTGTATGTGCGACCGAACAATCGCACTGTGACGGAACGAGTTTCTTAAGCTTAACGCTTCCAACTCGGGACATCATCAACTTACCTTACTCCGTGTTGCCCATCCTTTTTATATTTAGTTGCAGAACACAGCACAAGTTCGACAACCCTGGTCGAGATTGTGTTTACCAGATTCTTTTCTTTAAACAACGCAAGTACTGATGGTTCACTCAGAAGGGGGATTGCGAAACGCGATTACATCGACAGTATTGTCCTGTTTCATCGAATCACACGGCTAATCTATCTTCCCGTGTACCTTCATGGGTTATCACAAGCGTTAATTTGTCGTCTCTACTGATGTTCAGTAGGTCCCTGTCCTCTCGCCAGTCCTCTTCAACTGTGCGATGGAACGCGGTCATCGCTTTGCGACTGAGAGCGTCTACATAAGACTGAGTGCATTATTCTTGGCTCTCGACTAGGCTCAAAATACTCACACGCCCCGGAAATCTTCGGAGGGAACTCACTTCTCCCGTTGACTGTGGAGTTCCTAAATGCTGAGATAGTGTCCGATGTTCGGGAGTAGAACAGCATCTGAGCAGAGATTCCATTGGTTCGCCAGGGCCCCTTTAGACGGTTAAATTAGCGTTATTTCCGTTGAACAAGTCTGCTTCTACAACACCAGTTTGGAAAGTTCCTCGTATTTTCGTCCGTAACATATGGCTTTGTCAGTAAGAAGATCACTTGGTTTTGCGCTGGCCTATTAGCCAGGAGTCCCGGTTTCTTTCTTCTGACCTATCATGCCTGAGACTACTGGGAGTGAGCCTTATGGAGAACAAGCGGACGCCTACCCGATGTCTGACTTCCGCTCCGCTGGGAAGTTTCACGCACACCGACGCCACAGCTCTGGGAAGCGAGAAAGTAACTAATGCTCTTGCAATAAAGGAAATCAGTAAAGGGGAACATTTTTTAAATCTCGCTGTCAGCGTTACCCCTCCCCCCCCCGGCGGACACATCTTTTTATTGTCTCTAGGTTTCTATACTCACCTTTTTTACACCACTTCTTTTTATACAAAAACAGACTGCGTATTTGCGATCGGAACATCGGATCAATACGGCAGATATAAAAAAGTTGAAAAATTTGATACGAGGGAACTTGGCTGGAGCGCACGGGCGCCGCTCTCCACGGAGTGGCAGTACCATGCCGCAGTCGCTGTTCCAGTGGGTCGGGAATACGTTGCATGTGTTTTTGGAGGATACAACTGTAATGGATACGACTATCTGAACACCTGTGAGCTCTATTCTCCACAGGAGGACAGGTGAGTACCCGAGGTTTGTAAATTTATGTAAAAAAGACGAGGCCAGGATGACCGTTGCCGACTTACTTGACAGTCATTAACCGGTAAGACTCGGGGTTCAAACCGGGCACCAAGTAAAAAGGGCTGCGTCCTGTCAACCGTTCTTGCTCAAAAGGTTTATCACTTAGTTTCCCCCCTTCACATGGGACGTTAAGATATCTGCGGGAATTGTTCACCATCGCACATCTACGATCTCCCCTTTAGTATATGCTTTTCCCGAAATTTCGGCATTATGCAGAGCTTTTGTGGTCACAGCGGAAGGTAATGACAAAATATATGCCTACTATGACCTACTATATTTATCAAAGTAGGCGTTGTTCGGTAGAGTTTTTGGTCGGAGTCCGGTCATGCCCTTTGGCGGGTCGCTTACTAGCTTGGACTCTGACCCCGCGTATACTAGCGGTTTATTCACTCACCTCATTTCTTCTAACTGATTATTCTTTATTCTCCTTGGAATTGGTGATTGATTTTCGTTTAATCTCTTACCGCAGATAAGGCTTTACAGTAGTTTTCTTGATTTATTTCACAATTCTCCGGATTTTTCTAAATCCTGGTTGTGAGGCCCCGCCCGTATAACCTCCATTACCATTCACTGGTTATCTTTTTTCTGATTCCTTGCTTTCAGGTTCTCTGTCGGGCTGCACCATCATGTTCTCCCATTTTAATTTTTGGCTATCTCGTGTGACAAATTCGAGTCTGTAGTGTTCTTGATGTGACCTGTATGGCACTCGCACTCAGAGGGGATCTGGGCAGTCCCCGCTTATTATCTTTGCATCCCTGGTGCATCGTGCGCGGACCGGGCCTGTGTGTCGCGTGGAGACGTGATGATTAGGTTTGTCAGCCGCTGCCCCCGATCCCGTCTCGCTCGTACTGAATTTGTCTTTCCACCGTGACGGAGAATAAAGTGCGGCAGATGATGTGCAAGTCTGCTATTGTTTTGAACTATAGTAGGTGGGCCGGCTTTTGGGTGAGCTTCTTTCCGACCGCCTGCATAGACTTCAATGCAAAAATGGCTACTTAAGTAATATGAATTTTCCCCACTAGTTTTCGGTACTCATATAAAATCAGATATATTTTTCAGAAAACATGCACAAAAACGTCCCTTCTTATACTTATTAGGTAGCAAGTTACATTTTTCTTCGATTCAATGCTTGGAAAAAGTATCTTTTGGTTTCGAAAAGTTTCCAATTATGAGTCTTTTAAGACCGTGAGCTGTCGAATCATACAGCATCTCATCAGCGCGTTTATTAATGCTGCTTACCAAGTGGACGACATCGTCCACCTTGATTACGAATTTTTATGAGCCCTATGTGACATCTTTTACTGGCGTGTAGAAAAGTATGTTTTTTCTTACGTGGAAAGTGCGCGGCTTGTATTTGGAAACCCTGATTGCAAGCGTAGCCGCAGGTAGGGTTCAAAACTACTCGAAAGCTGAAAAAGTTTTTTTTTTTAAACTGAAAAGTACTTTTCTTCAAGTATACAGTTTGAGGAAGACGTAATTAGCTACAAGACGAGTACAGGAAGGAATATTTGTGCATATTTTCTATGGAATATGTTTGAATCTATAAGGTATCAAGCTCATTGTGAAAAATCCATACTAATACTTAAATAATTATTTTTTACGGACGTGAAAATCCATACAAATACTTAGATAGTCACCCTTTAACAGAGTGTAGTTTATGCAGGTGGCCGGAAAGGACCTCTTTCAAAAGACGGAATCCTGTGGGATTATGCTGCAATATTGCAGCCCCACTTATAAGCAATCATTGCGGTTTGAAAACCCATTTCAGAAGTTCAACCAAAATTTCGTGAGATAGCACATCTACTTCAAGTCCCCGTGCTGGCGCCCAGTAGGCTGTGAGGCACACAGCAGATATCGGCGTTCGCAACGGTCGAACTGACATGCTTACTTTGAAACTTCATGAAATGCAAACCTGTTAGTTGGAGTTACAGCATACCATACTGGCAGCCCAGGTACAAGCTAAAAGCCTGGTATTCTGTAACCTCAATATATACTAATAGCTACCTGTTGGCAGTTTGGTTAGTATTAGGCGGTTATCTCGCTGTGGCTGATGGAATTCGACCCAAATATCCAAATCAAATTTCCATCTGTGTCTATAGGCCCTGGTTCCAACTACTTCTTCTCCTAGATGGCAACAAATCTGTTCAACTATTCCCCTTATTATTTGCCAACCGTATACAATATTTTAGTTAACTTAAAAGTAGTCTGTTTATAACCCGGGGAATGACACGGATGTTCCTCGAAGACGGAACTCTCATTTAAGAAGTACGCATTTGACATAAAATGCAAAAAAATGCTTGTTACACCTCACTGCAACGTAGCTATTACTACTGCACTGGAAAGTTTCCTGAAGTTGGTGATTAGGGATACCCACTGTGTCAGTGTGTCAGACGTAGTAAACAGGCTGGATTGTCTGCACTTGCCTACTTGTGCCATTCTTCTCACTGCCCCACCTTACTGCAGATGGTACGCGCTGCCTCAGTTGAAAGAACGCAGGCAGTGCGCAGCAGCGGTTGCACTGCCAGACGGTCACGTATTTGTCATCGGTGGTTAAGACGCATCTGGCTACCCGTTGAACTCTGTGGAGACATGCCATCTACGTGAGCCAGCAGACTGGCAGGGACGGCGAAACATGTCGGGCGACTTTTGGAAGAATGCTGCTTCCATGGCGTCCGCGCGCAGCGGCCACGCAGCGGTTGCATTTCGGGGCAGCATCTTCGTCGCTGGGGGCAGCACCTCTAGTGGGAGGTCTGCGGTCGAGGTCTTCGCCCCGCCGGACAATCAGCAACCCTTGGGACAGTGGACCCAACTCATTAACAGCACCTTGAAATGGCCTAATGGTTCGTTCGTCGTTTGGCAGGACAGGCTCTTTTCTTTTGGTGAGTGCCCAGCCCTGTTTTCCCTGGTTTAGTTGGTTTTTCTGTTCTCTATCTTGTGCCATTCGAATTTGTAGAGCAGAGGTAAAGGGCAGATCTCAGCCGTTCTGACTGTTAAGACAATCTATTGCCGTTCTCCGTTTCATGCACACTTTTCGCAGATTTTCTCTGTGTGGTGGAGGACTGCAAGTGGGGTTCAATGGTCCCTTCCAACTGCGACCTCTATGAAAACCCCATTTAAATGGGATCCGGGTGGTGGTCCCCCATTTATGTGCAAACCCCTTCCACTGTGTGTGGCCCGTGGAAACGAGCCACTTAGATTTGTCGGCTATTGCGCCTGAACCCGCAGTATGTTTTGTCACCGAGCCGAGCTTGGCGAGTGGAGGAGAGAGCGTCGCGGAGCCTGCTATCACGCCGTTGTCCTGTGCCCAGCATGTTGTGGGACACACGGTGGATGTCGTCGTTCGTGACCGTTGAACTGTCGGTAGCATATTTTCTCAGTGTGTAACTTAGCTGTGTGTACCTGGTGTTCAATGGAGTAGTCCTGCCCTACACTTATGAATGGATTTTGTAGGAATAAGGAAACTGAGAATTCAGTAGCACTCTTGCCTGAGAATTATTTTCCTAGTGAGTTACAAAAACTTTGCCTCTAATGAGGTAGTTGACATTCTCTGCAAACCCGAGGAGAAGTCCCTCGGCCACTCCTACTTGATGAATGTAGTGCCGTTGTCTTGAGTGTAGTCTCCTGTAGGGTACAAAGAGTCAACATAAAATTTAGCTTGCTGCTGTTCTGCAGACGTCCGGTTGCTTTTTGCATTTCGTCCCCACCGCTAGTGGGAGGTATTGTATCGAGCCCGACCAGCCAACTCTCCCTCATGGCATCATCAAGGCCATATAGGTAGACGATTTTTAATTTTACCGATTACTCAGCTGTTTGACAGAAATCCTTAAACGGCACCCAGCCAGAGCCATTGGTAATTGTGCGCTTAGTATCATATGGCCGTTTTCATTTTTGCTGAGATTAATCACTGTTCATTTTCCTGATTTTGAAGGCTCGAAGGATTACTCGTCCGTCTCAATGCTGGAGTTCGTTCCACCACCAAGTTCGTCAACACCATCGCTTAAGGACTATGCATCCTGGAGATGGTCGGATCGGGGGAAGGTCGATTGCTTAAAGTCTATCCAAAAAGCGTTCCTTCTGCACTAACTGTTATATTTGCCTAAATTTTATACTATTTGCGCTTACAGTGCGATTTGTTAAACCGCCTAAATGGTTCCCTTGTAATAAATTGACGCAGACGCGTTGCATTCTTAAAATTCCATTTCGTGTCGGATATGAATTTAGGAGGTCGATGACGGAGTCAGTAGCAGGTATCGGCAGCTGCGGTCACATCTGGTCTAGATGGAGTCAATAGTCCCGCGGAGCCACTAAGCGACCGAAGCACTTGTTGTCCATTGACGAGGACCCGGGATCCAGGCACCACCAACAATTCGACCGTTACATCCGACGATGTCCACCGTGTTTTCTACAGCAAGGTGAAGCTGGCACGATGACTTGCGCGTGAATTAGTTTATAGTGGGAGTATACTTGCGAAGCATCTACTGCGTTCTCTGCCCCTCCCGCCTGCGCACTGTATCAAAACAGTGTCAAGAAGACCGGAGGCGAGGAGGGCACAGGCGTCTGGCACGGCCGAACACGCAGCTGAGCGTACCACCACACCCCCTGGTCTACAACGAACGCTTGACCAGGATTTAAATCAACAACAACAACGGAAAGACGAGGATGACTGGACAGCCATGCACACGACTTGTACACCCGGCGGGCGCGCAAACGCATCTACCACCGGAGAACTGCTAGCGCGCACCGAACTGCGGGGACCATGGTTTGCTGATCATGGCATAGCAGACACTCACAAACCTTGGGGCCCAGGCATCAGCACCATCACCACCACCATGTCTGTGGGCCTGCGTCGAGTCAGCATATCAGCCTCTCTCCTAATCGCCTCCGAAAAGCCTAGGGAATTGGATGTGGATCAGCTGCATAGCAATCAGGTGGGGGCACGAGGAACGTGCTTAAACCGCCCGAGCTTTTGTTTCATGGATTGTCTCAGATATCCAGAGCACTTCGTCACTGTAGTCGCAGCTGGTGTACTTTCCTCGAAAGGGGGGTTCTCGAAAAACGATGCTCGAAAACACCGGAATTCCCTTTCTCTTTTACGCGTAGATGTTTTTGCGTTGACTGCAATGACGGCCAGTTACCGTTGCTTACTCCCTCGATCCGGGCTGCAGAGATGCTCCGACGTATGAATTGATTGCCGGAATCGACCTGTCGGCGTGTTCGGGAAGCACGTGATCCGACACGTCCTCATCACTGGTTTCACACCACGCACCGTCCTGCTGTCACCCGCATAACTCAGAAGATGAAGATGCGATCACTGGGACTGATCGCATCTTCATCTTCTGAACTGCTACCTGGGACTCGCCTGTTCGCTTCTATCAGCACCCGCATAACTGCCAAATCTCGCTGACCAGCATGTTTGCCAGGTCGACCGGAAAAAGTGCATCAGTTCTCCTACGTTTGGGGTGAGTGCCTCATTGCGACTCGAAGGTCGTCCTAGATGTGTTTTATCTGGAACTTCGCGCTTTCTGGGTCCTACCGTACATGGCGTGGCAGACGTGTAGCGTTTTCGTTCGAGTGGCATGGTTGGACGGGCGTTCGTTTCGGGTGTGTTTATCCTCTGACTGCCACATGATATTTTTTGACACATACTGTACGGGATGGGGTGTAAGTTGTCTCCGCAGGCGGAACCTTTTACAGAATTGCTGCCGTGATTAATTGATGTCAGTTATTCACTTGGTTTGTCCATAAATGTTGGAAAAATCAAGGGGTATTCGAACTGTGTCTCTGGCTAGGAGATGGCACGTCGTGAGCTTGGCGGTCGTCAGTTTGAAGAAGGAGACTACCTTCAATATGTCGGGGCCAGGTTGGACAAAGTAAGGTTGACATCACTGGCTGGATCGACGCTGTCCACTGGGTTTACAAGAATTATTGCGGATACACACATGCCGCAGTACCCGAATCGTAGCAATGGTCCGCGTGTATCTTGCATTGATCTGGACAGTCTCCCCGTGCATCACTAAATGTTTAAATGTAAATAAGTCTTTTTGCAATGCCTTCCCTGCATTTCTATCGTGTCGGTCGACTTAATGCGCGCAGAAATTCTCGTAGACCATTAGGTCACCAATGGGAACACCGGTCCGATCCCTAAGCAGGAGATGTCAGCCGTTGTCTACCGACTTCAATGCAGCTGTGGAAGGTGCAACTACGTTGGGGAATCCGGCCGATGGCCGCAAACGCGAATGCACGAGCATGAGTTGGCCGTGCGAAGGTTGGTCGGAGGTAACTGACGCCAAGTGCCTGTTATCAAAGACTGAGATATTAGTTGCGAATGGAGGCGAATATGCGAGGCCCAGGTTCTTGTTGTAAAGAGGATGAACGCGCGATCACAGAGACAGTACGAGCTTTCGGACTCGTACAGGAGGCCATCATCAGGGACTGTGAGAAATCGACGTTAGTAATATGTCGTCCGCGGGAGAACAGTAGCAGTGAAGGAATTAAAAGTGGACAAGGATATAATAATGCTGCCAGCCGGCAAAGGAAGAGCAATCGTCGTGATGAGCCACGTCGATTACAACAGGCAGGCACAAGCCCACCTCGACGACCAACAGTCCTACAAATCCACGCTTCCCTCGGTGACTGATCAACTAATCGGACTTTTGAACCGACTCAGGCACGACAGTGTGATATGTCTGGACGAATGGCGACAGATGAAGCTAACGGATATGGGACTGGCCGGGTTTTAAGGATTACCCAAAATCCACATGCCAAATGTGCCCCTTCGGCTAATCGTTACCTTGAAAAACAGCCCCACTTACAATCTATCCAGATGGATGGCCCGGAAACTTAATTTACTCCGAAAGGGCTCGAAAACCTCCATCAATTTGGCCTCCCAATTCCTGGTCGACATCCGAGGAAAAACTGTCCGTTCTGATCAAATTATGGTATCCTTTGACGTGATTTCATTATTCACATCCATCAAACCGTACGTGACACGCGACATTCTACGTAAACGGCTTGAAGAAAACTATGAAGAAACGAATAGACTTCTAAAAATCGGCCATTGACTGTGACTATTTGTCTTCTGCAAACAAACCTTTTTTCCCCTCCAGTGGCAGAACACACGAGCAGATCAAACGAACGCTGCTGAGTTCGCCAATATCCAGCCTGGTTGCGGAAGTAATCTTACAGGAGCAGGGAAATGTCGTCTTCAACCACAATGAACCTACATTTTGACGCCGATACGTGTACGGCACCTTCATTATAATTGAAGGGAGCAGACTAGTAGACTTTCAATACCTGCTGAATGCTATCTGCCTCGACATTCAGTTCACAAGCAAAGAAGAACATAACGAACAGTTGTCTTTCATTGACGTTCTCGTCAGACGTAGACCGAATGGAGAACTCAGCACCACGGTGTATAGAAAGGAGACTAATACGACTCAGGTTCTCAACCACCACAGCAATCATCCGATGGCACATTAACGCGGCTGTGTTAGAGCACTCTTCATAAGGGCAAAAACGCATTGCAATGAACCAGAGGGACAAGTACCAGAACTACGGCATCTTCCTGAACAACTGGCAAGGCATGGATACCCAAACAGCTTCGTCAGCGCTGCCTCCGAAAGCACCCACGGCGAACAAACGGAGGAGAGCCACCAACACTCTGGCACCCTCTACCATATATAAAGAACGTGTCCGAAGCGATGCAACGTATCGCTGGGGAGCTCGGCGTGGGTATCGCTCATCGTCCGACAGCGACCATACGCAACAAAATCATGCGAGTGAAGGACCGACTATACGCAGGAGAACAATCTGGTGTCGTTTATCAGATTCCATGCCGTGACTGTTCCCTCCATTATGCAGAACGGACCGGATTACGACTTAGCTCGCGAATAACGGAGCACAAACGGGCAGTCCAGAGAGGCGATCCACTGTCCGAGGTCGCTACTCACATCCTGGAGGAAGGATACGAATTCAACTTTGCGAGCACACGGATAATGACGCGAGCCAGCAATAAGACAGGGCGAAAACTGCTGGAGACCTGGGTTTCTGACACCAACGCCATCAGCGGACACGTCGATATACCCGCCTGCTACCACGTGCTCCGTTCTCGCGGCCAAGAGGCGGGGTCCAATTCCCAGCCAAGTGTACACGCAGCCCCGTCGCCGTGAGACGGCGTGGACTCAGCCTTATCGTGAACATCACCCTCCGCGCTCCTATCCCCGCTTCTTTGTTTGACCACCAAATTGTTCATCTGACGCCGCACTTTCACAGTCACTGGTGATGCCTTCCTGCACCAGACCGAAAACTCAGACTAATACACGTACTGTCCCAGCGATCGCGCCGTCATCTTCTTTGAGATATTTGTAGCTCGAGTGTCGAGCAATCGTGCATGTACTCTATCCTCTGAAGGCGAGTATCACAGTTTAAAGGTATTGGCTCTTGATCGGGTGCTACCTCTAAAGGTAGGTGTTTTGCATGATCAACTGTAAAGACTATGCGCAAGACAAATCGCTGGAAGAGTCTGGGACTCTGGAACGCTCGGGGATTCATAATCGAACTATGTGAAAGAAAATGCACCAATAAGTTGTGCACTGTCGTAGTTTCTCATGGTGTTTTGGTCGAGTCTGTTCTTTATTGAAGTCGGAATAATACTATCTGGTTATGAACGCTGGGGGCGGATCACTTTGCCACTTCATGGCGATGCCTCCGAAGGTCCACGCGTCAATCGTATTTATCTCTCTTTCACTCGGCCTCATTTCCGCTGTTCCCCATTACCTTTGTGTCTGCGATTTCCAACTCGTGATTTGTCTCCAGTTTGCAGGCAGCCACTTGAGAGGGCGGGCCATCCCCTAGGAATTGCAGATTGTGCGCGCGTATTCGTCTAGGGCAGGCCATATCATTGATAGTTCTCAGACGATAGTAGTCAAATGCAATAGGGTCGTGTCAGTCATTGAAAGTAATTAAATATGGGAGGAAAATTAAGCGTAAAAACTGATCTGATCGGTAACGTCGTAACGCGACTGCTGTATACACTTGTTTTCACTGAGTTAAAACTTTCGGATTTATATGGTAACCTATGAATTCAAGGCCGGTCAGCAACATTTCCGATTGTGGGATATCGGAAGAGACCATTGGATGAAATAGGTAGCTGAAGTCTTCAAATGGGTTGACCCACTACTCCAGTATCGAACGCCTGCTCAATTTATATCTGTGATATAATATTTCTAAATACAATTGTTGATGCCTTTTCGGAAAGTGGTGTGGTCGACAAGACAGAGATTCCCAAATCAGAAGTCAGGGAAGACGGTTTGAGTTGGGCAACCTTTACTGCTGTAGAAGTGCCTGCAGAAAGGCTCTGTAAGCAGTCACCGCGAGCGCGCTCACCGAGCAAGTTGTTTTGTCGGCGTCCGCCCTCAAGGTGCTCAGACCCAGCGCGTGTGCGCCGTTCGCTGTCTCAGCGTCCGCCAGCCAATCAGAGGAGGGACGGCATTGATTGGCCTCGAGCACTCGCGAGCCTCGGGCTTCCCAACAGCGTATCGACAAGGCGTGTGAGGCGGACAGGAAGGCGGCGTGACAAAGGCCGAGAGCAAGGAAACGCGAACTGCCACAGCACCCCCTGCTAGGCCGAAGGCCAAAGTACTGTATTAACACCTCTCGAAATTGCTACCTCCTAGCCTAGGCTCCCGAGGCGTCGCACTGGACTCCTCTGCGAATCAGATTTTTGTAAGAGCATCAAGTCACCTATCAAATGCAAATCGAAATTCTGAACTGCACCCCTTGCTTGTGACGATACTTCCCGTAACCATGTTCTTTGCAAGTACCTAACTGTGCATTTAATCGTTCTAACTGGCTACTTCGTTTAAGCTGCACTCCACTTTTTTAGCAGTCACCGTTATCCGATCCAGAAGTGAATATTATCCTTCTCGGAACTGTTCCCTTTCACCTTCGCCTACTATAGAATTCTATAATTTGAAGGAAATCAGTTCTTTGGGAACCTGTAGTAAACTTCATTATGCAAATTTTGGAAGCCGGTTCCCCAGGTCGTCGGTAGGCGTGCAGTAAATGTGCGAAACAATTAAATTTCTAAACTTGCCTGAAAGATCGATATAGCATAATCGTTCCTGCAAATAAGCTCTCATTGTGGACTAACATCTCGTTCAGATTGGCTGTTGCCTTCCTCATTTATCTTTGAGATTACTGTATACGGCGTCCAATTCGATGTCTCAATTAATGCACGAAAAGTGGGGGGTACATGTCCCCCAAAATCTCTCAGCCTTTCTAAGATGAACAGGAACCAACAATGCAGGTTTTGTCCCAGGCACATTTCTCCCCAGTTTCCAATATGTGCATGACAAATTGGGACAAGTGTTTTCGCCTCTTTACTGCCAACTGATGTTCGTGTTAGCGTGCAAAGGCCGATTTTCCCGTTTGACCACGATAGACTGCACTGCAACTTCCACAGGGAATTTCGCAGAAGGCTCCCCCTTGTCCAAATAGCCAGCCCTACCCTAAGTATGCATAAGCCGGCTACGAAGTGTAGTCGTCAGCTCTTGCACCGCTTGTATTTTGTGCTTCCGCAGGTGTCTTTCAACGAGTGCAGACACGCCCTCGGTTTACGGAGGTGTTCTCCAGGCTTTAAATTTTGATCCCTCACCGCACCAATCTAGTTCATTGTGTTTTTCTTTTAACTCCATTTGTCTTACGTATCGACGTACAAAATTTCTGGGGTAACACTTCCTACAAGACAGGTTTAAGAGACAATTAATTTTAGATTGGTAAAGTTCGTAATCAGAACAGTGAGTTTTTGCTCGATTGAATAAGGTGTTGACAGTACTCCGTTTCTGAACCGCCCGGGTGGTTGCTCTCGTAATGTGGCGTAACTTATGCATAAGGTTTTTTTGCAGTAGAACTACGGGTGGAATGTGCCGTCGGCCATTGGCTATACGAAGACGTCAAAGAGCGGGAGTATATTGTGGACCTGTTTTTTCCCAGCGCAGAGGTGATTTTTGGTAGCGTTGAATTAACAACGCTACACAGTGTTGCCAGTTGATCCATTTTAACGATAACAAACGTGTCATCAATGAAGCCTACCCATAATTTGGAGTTATCTAATGGTAGGGGCGTAGTTCTAGTTTTTGCATTGTGACCCCAGCTTAGAAGTCAGAAATGGGTGACCCCATAGGGGCTCCCTATAGCTGTTAATAGTATTCTTGTCAGAAAGAAGAGTTCGTTTCCGGACGGAGATCCGAGAGTTCATGCAAGACAGATGTCGGAGCATCTATGTCAGAGCACAGTAGGAGTTCTTCTGTCAATTGCCTTGCCAACTCTAATGGTATGGACGTAAAGATAGAGGAAACATCGACGGATACCACTGTTTCATTTGCAGAAATAATGCGTCCTTGTAAGTTGTCCAGAAACTGGATAGAACTCTTGATTGCTATTTCACAGTCGTTTTGTAAATGGATCTTGTTTGTAGAATAGCTACTTAGAAGTCTTGTAATTGGGTGCATCGACTGACGATACCGTTGGTCACAATGATACTTCGAGTATGTGTGCCCTAGGCATTTCGTAGATCTTAGCTATGGTTGGTTCGGTTTGTCTTAAGGACTTGGCAATATCACTTGATATTTGCTTCTTCCCTGTAAGACGCCTAGGTATCATTCCAATAGCTGCGTTCGGCGCCTTCGCAGGACCTGCGATAAGAGGTTTATAGACTGCTTTATTCAAAATGAAAGTGGAGCCTCCTTTGTCCGCAATAAAAACGGCAATGCTGTTGTCATTTTTCTGAGCTTTTAATGCTTTCTTTTCTTCCCGTGATAGTACCAAAAGAATATTTCGGTTGTTAAGGCATTAATAGTGGTAGTCTGGAGATTATGAAACGCTCATCGTCTGTAACCGTGTTTGTGCACATTCCTCCTAAAACTTCGAATGTCCGTCTAATTTCTAACCATCATGCAACATTGTTTAATAAATTTTCCTCTCGCTGTGGATCTCACTAAAATGTATTGAATACGTCTCCAGAAATTTGATTTTCCAACTCAGATTGTGGAACGTTGTGAGAAACTCATCTATAAATTTGATTTACGTGGAAGCCTGAAGCAAGTAAGCAAGCAAGCATAAATCGAACTTTTGAACCGCATACCCTCCTTGTTAGTTGACATTTCTACTCGTCTTCCTCACCTGCTGTTCTTATAGTCTCGCCAATATTTTGAAAATTGTTTAAGTGCTTCACATACCATGGAACAACATTGGCGCACGTTAATGAGAACTCAAACTCACAAAATCAGCATGCTATCTTCACCGCCAACAGTTTCGGTGTTCTAACTGTCAGTGCACAACTAAGTTATTGATTAGGATGGAGTGTGTGATATCGCGAGTCTGTAGCAGGCTGAGGGTTGCTTAGTTAGAGTGCGGCGATAAGTAGGCGTGACTTTGCTCTGGCAGATACCGAGGACTGTCAGGTAATAACTGAGGCGCGGAGTGCTTTCTCGCAAAAACGGACATACCAGTAGTTCGATTGGCAGTAAATCGTACCATCTGCTGTGGTCTCTGAGTGCGAGCATCACAGATGATCTCCCATGTGCACTCGAACTGGTGCCAC